CCAGACACACTGGTGGTGGTGTTCGGGGTGAATGTCTACCCTTGCAGGTCTGTTTGTGTTCAGAAAAATTCTTTTGCTTTTTTTTTTAGCAGAAAGTTATGTAAATGCAGATTTAACTGGAAACCTCTCCTTTCCTCCCACGTCTCATTTATAGCATAATTTTAGAGTTGGCCTATTTTGTTTTCAATCACTTAACTGCTGTCCATCTAAAGATCTTTCACTGGAGAATGTTCTTGATAATGCTGCTGATATAAAGGAAAAAAATCAGGATATAGAATTTGTAAGCTTTCTACTAATGATCTATGGCGAGATGAAGAGCATGAGCTCACATTCAGTTGATAGAATATAATATCAATATAAAATAAAAGCATTAAAATGCGTATCATGCAGAGAGCAACAGAGAGGCTCGTGATGGGTATCAAAGAAGGAACTACATTTTCACTGGCTGTCCCTCCATGCTTAGAATTTTCTCCTTCCTCATCTCCACTTCTTGACTTTCCTGGCTTCTTTTAAATTCCAGCTAAAGGCCCACCTTCTACAGGAAGCCCGTCCCAATGCCCCTTATTGCTAGCACCTTACCTCTGTTGATAATTTCCTATTTATCTTGTATAAAGCTAGTTTGTACATAGTTGTTGGCATATTGTCTCCCTCATTAGGTGTGAGCTCCTTGTCTTTTGCCTTTCTTTGTATCCCCTGTGCTTAGCCCCCTGCCTGGCACATAGTAGGTGCTTAATAAATGCTTATTGACTTGAGTTAAAGGACTTCGGCAAAGACAATCATATCTGCACTCCCTATCTCACAGGGTTATTGTGAGAACTTTGTAAATGTTAACATGACCTAGAAAGTTATTTTACTATACTCAAAATATTCAAATGCTCAGAAATTCCGATGGATCTGTGATCTCATTAAAGTTGGTGCAGATTGCATCTTTTCCATGCCTCCCATAAATTGACCACAAGGGGTCCAGCCAAGATGCAGGGAACCTTCCTCCATTTCTTTTCAAGGACAAGATGCCTGCAGACTGGACTGAAAGGAAGGTAGCCTTCAAGGAGAATCCACGATCATTGTTCCTGAATTCTGTGGGTCCAGAGAAAAAAGGGAAGTGAATTTCCTAAAGAGCAGGATCCCAGAAGCTAGCCTGTGAGCAGAGGGGAAAGATTCCTTGGGCAGCTCCAGTCTGGGGGGCTGTCTCACAAGTAACATACACATTTAAGAGTCTGGAGACTTGGCCTTCTGGGGAGAATGGGAGTCCCTGAATAGCTTCCTCTTGGAGATATTTTATGTATATACACATGTATACAAATATACACCATATATATCATATATATACTACATATATAACCACATAGAACACTCTCTGCCTCCATGTATGTAATACCACAATGTTTACTTCAGTCTTTTTCCGCCTTGCTTGCTACTGCCTTAAAGGAAGATTAAATTTAATCTTCCACCTCAAGCATAATAAAACCACCCTTTATACTTGACTGGTTGGAAAATATTATCACTCAAGTTGAAACATGCCTCAACTTGAGATTTATCCTCGTGTTACTATTTCCCAGTGATTGATCAATTTTCATTGTAAAAACCAAGACACACGGTGAAGATGACTCCGAACTGAAGGCCTGGCAGATCACTTGATTCACTGGATTGAAGTCTGAATTTTAAAGAGTAGGGAGATGCCTTGTGCAGTAGTTTCCCCTATCATAGCTCTCCCAGCTAGATTTGCAGAATTCAGCGCAGTCTTCGGCCAATGGGGACTTCCTAAGCTGTAATTCTTGTGACATAGGATCTAGAAGGACTCTTAGAGCTCATCCAGTCTAGTTACCTTCTTTTATATGCAAGAAAATGGAGGCTTACATAGGTGGTGATGTTCCAAGGTCATATAGATGGTCAACAACAGACCTGAGATTTTGAACTGAGGTCCCTGAAACTCCTAAGTTTAATATGGTTTTCACTATCAATCCAGCATTTGTTAAATGTCTGTTATATGCAGGGTACTAGGGTGCTAGGTCTATTATGTTCAGGGTACCAGATAGGAACTGAGGAAGGAAAGACAAAAGCAAAATAGTCCCTGCCCTCAAGGAGCTTACATTCCACCTAGGGAAATAACACATACATACACACAAATATGTGTATTATGTGTGTGTGTGTGTGTGTGTGTGTGTGTATAGATAGATATATATATATATATAGTATATATTTATATAAAATCCTCATGTATATATATATATGTTTATATGTGCATATATGGATATATAATTATTTATAATCCCTATATATATGTTTATGTGCACACACATATATGAAACAAATACAGTTATCCCTTTCACATCGTGACTTTCCCCATTACAGTTTTGATATATTGAGGGTTGGCATAAAAAATTAAATGGGAATTTTGGGGGAGTTTTGTGGAAGCCACAGACAACACACAAAAGCCAGCAGATGATGAAGGAAAAGTTTAGAAACTTAGAAATGCATAAAATATAAGTATAGTATTGTATAACATCAGTATATTTAATCTTTTAATGCCATAATAATTCAGACTTCTTCTCTGGTACAAAGGGAGGGCCTAAAATTTTTACGTGGATTTTCTAGATCACAGGGGAAGGGAAGGGCTGAACCGAGCCCCGAACCCCAGCAGTGTGGAAGGGATAACTGTATAAGGTAACCTTAGAACAGAAGGTACCAGCATCTGAGGGGAACGCCCTAGTACCCTGAACACAACAGACATTTAACAAATGCTGGATTGATAGTGAAAAGCATATTAAACTTGGGAGTTTCAGGGACCTGACCTCAGGTCTGTTATTGAATATGTTATGCATAAGAAGGCATGGGTTTTAAATGCCAAATAGAGGATTTATTTGATCCTGGAGGGAATGGGGAGCCATAGTAGGGGTTATTGAATAGGGAAGTGACACAGTCAGACCTGCATTTGAGGAAAATCCCTTTGATGGCTCTGTAAAGAACAAATTAGGGCAGGGAGTTGAGAAGCAGGCAGAGACCGAGGAGGAGGCCACTATGATGTACACTACATTGTGTTCTCACTGCTGTTCAGAGCCATCATTCTGTCTTCATTCCAATGCCATTCAGCTGCTGCTGCTGAGAATGTCTGAGCATATTCATGGCCAAGAAAATAAACTGTTTTAGGTGGTAATTACTTTTCTAAGAAAGTACCATGCATGCTAAGCCTTGCTAGACAGTCATTATTCTATTTTCTTTCGTATTTGATGATACCATTGAGAAGTAATGTTTTCTTCTCGTCTATATTATATGTCATCTGTTCCATATTATAATCTTTATAGGAATATGGGGTTGAAAAGACCAGCTTGGAAAGAATGGGCAAGAATGTCGGCCCGCTTAAAGTTTACCTGAATTCAAAGCTCTAAGTAGTTGGGGTGACTGGGGCTTTGTTCTGAAGCATCTAAGTTCAGACGGCATAGAAACAACTGAGCTTCGGGTTATATAATAATAATTAGTTAAAGGAGGAAGTTGCTGTTGCATTCCCCTTCCCTCACTTGCTCCCTCCTTCTCTCCCCACAGGTGAACTCTCCACTCTGGCCTGGCTCAGCTCCACCCTGTTTTCCCATCTCTATCAGAGGCTTCCTCAGCAGCAGCCTCATAATTAGATCAAGGGTCTCTGCTTCCCCATCTCTATTGAATTTATCTCCATAAGTTGACTTGAGGGTGTGTTTGGGCTCTGTATGAATCTATATTCAAAGCTATAGGAATCTACCTTTGCTTTCTGATCCTGAGTGATTCTGTGCCCCTCTTCAAGCTCTGTTTAGATGGTGATGCCATAGTAACAGTGATGGCACAAGTGGACATTTCTCAGTCTCCTGCATAAAGAATTCATTTACAGAACTCAGTATTTTTTTAATAAGGTCAAGATGAAATCCTATGTGTAGTATCAGTAAACTTGAAAGGTTCAAGGAAGGGTTCTGAGGATCATACTGGGAACAGGAAACATGTGGTGACATGAAAGAAACAAGATGACTTAGAAACTGAGTCAGGGCAAGGCAAGTTGTTGATTGTTTGAAGTTCAAAACACATCTCTAGGACAGGAAAGTTGTTGGGGTGATAAAGGAAAATGAAGCATTGTTCTTAATAGTGGAGTAAAATGACAAGGCTAGAATAAAAGGTTGGCTTAGGGAGATCGGAGACCCAACAAAGAAATCTAACTTTGGGCGCATGGTTTAAAGCCTCAAATGTTTACTTTGCCAAATGCCTCTTCACCAGCAATAGTGTGTGGCCAACAGGTAACACTAAGCTAGGTACCTCACCTTGAGAAAGGACCTGATAACCTTCTCCTTTCAAAAATCCCAAGATTTGTCTTGGGCTGAGGAGAAAGGAAATAAGTATTTGGTATTTCCCTCTCCCTGGATCCCTATTCCCAATTAGTAGCCTAAAGGGTAGCATAGGACAGATCACTTCCCATTTCCTTTTGCTGATAGGACAAGCAATGAGAATGAGGCAACTGGGTGGCTCAGTGGATAGAACTGCTAATTTCAAAACCTGCCTCAGACATGAGGTGTGTCCCTTAAGTGTACCCAGGCTCAGCTTCCCCAACTGTAAAATGGAGATAACAATAGCACCTACTTCACAGGGTCGTTGTGAGGTTTAAATGAATTAACATATATATGTAAAGTGCTTTGCGACCTTTAGGGGAAGGAAGTCCAGTCAGTGCCTGTTCTCTAATATGAGGAAGTTGAAGTAGAGATAGATTTGGAAAACCCGAGTTCAAATCCTGCCTCAGATGACCCTAGGCAAACCACTTAACCACTGCCTGCCTCAGTTTCTCCATTTGTAAAAATGGCAGCAATAATAGCACCTTTCTTCCAGTGTTGTGGTGGGGATCAAACGAGCTAAAATACAGGAAGTTCTTTGTAAACCACAAAGCCCTCTCTGAATGCGTGCTATGATGATGGCGATGGTCATGATGATCGTGGTTGGCTTCCTGGAAGCTGAGGATGTGCTTCTGTCAATGGTAGAAAGAAAAAAAAAACACCACAGATTGGGGTGAGAAAAAAGATGGGTGTGAGCTGAGCCAAATGACTGAATCATGGGTTTTTGTTGGGTTTTTTGTTTTTGTTTTTTTCATTTTTGCAGCTGTCTCGGATTCTCAGCTGTCTCTCCCTGTGGTTCTCTTTCAGGATGGCAGAGAGGAGAAGGACATTTTTTCTATTCCTATGCATTTCACATTCTCTTGCTGGTGAGTAGCTTCTATTGCTTTTGGGATGGCTCCAGTTGGGGGTGGAATTCAGAAACCGTCAAGCATTGGGAAGTCCCTTCCCAGGGAACAGTCATAGTCTTCTTCGAGGATCAGATCAATTTCTTTCACTGATGAAAGCAGGTGTCCAGCCACCAGAAAACCTTTGCACTATGAGCAAAAGGAGGTTACTTAGGTAGCGTTTGTCCCTGTCTGCCGCTAGCCTAGCAGTTGGTGATTACTAGAACCACCAGTGAGTTTATCTAAGCACAAAAACTGTGCTTTTATTTATGAACAGAAGACCTGGGTTTGGTGGTCTTGGGTAATTCATTCTCTGAGCCTCCACTTTCTCATCTGTTCAAATGAGAGTGGTTATGGTCATAACTGCACTCCCTACATCGTGGGATGAGGAGATGAAATGAGATTATGGCTGTCAAGTGCTTTGTAACCATAAAGCCTTCCATCAATGAAAGCTCTTGTTTGTGTGACCCAGAATACTTGGGCATGCGAAGAATGCCAGTGAAAGTTCAAATCGGTAAACACCAAAGAGTGTGAATAGCCTGGTGAGAGTCTCTGAACTAAAGAGCATATAGGAAAATCCTATAGAAACACCTCGCAAGCAAAGTGAGTGGGCATGCAGGCTTGATGAACCTGATGACGCACCATTCCTGGGGTATCCAAAGCCCTGTCCCGTGTTCTGGCTGCTTATCTGACACATTTATTTGTCCAGTGGGCAGAGAGAACAGAAGCCTTTTTACAAGTTGGGGGGGGGAGGTTTGTAATGGACAGAGAGCCTCTGGAGAAAATAACCCCTCTGGGATTACTTTCTCCAAGGGCGACCATTCCTCCCATGCTCAGCCCTTAGTTGCTGATACAGGGCCTCTTGCAGTTGGGAGCCAGATCCTCTGTTTGTTTGCATTTCTGAGGTAGGTCCTACAAGGTCCTTTTAAAATAAACCAAAAATGCTAATTCTAGAACTCTATGCATATGAATAAATATATATCATGTACATGTATGCACATATAAAATAATATGTCCATGATATTAATATATGTATGTATAATATGTATGATAACTATATATAATTACACATAACCAACCTGTAGAATAAGAAAATATTATTCTACCCTGTGTACCCACCTCCTAGAGTTGTTATGACTCAAATGAGATAATGTATGTAAAAGTGCTTGGAAAACCTTAAAGTGCTATATAACAATAAGATATTATTATCTCCATTTTACAGATGAGAAAACAGAGGTTCTGGGATCAGTGACTTGCTCAATGTCATACATTTAGTAAGATGGGAATTCAAACCTACATCCCTTCTGATTCCAAGTCTAGAACTCTTTCCATTATACATATGTGTGTATGCAGCTGTACACATACACACACACATACACACACACACACACACACACACACACACAAGGTTTGGAGGGGTGGTTCCCTGTCTTCATGTCCCCACTATTTAGCACAGTTTCTGGCACATAGTAGGTGCTTAATAAATGCCTGTTGTCTAGACTTGTCATATGTAACTGGTCTCAGCAGCAATTATTAGGCACCTATATAGAGCACTATGATTTAGGAACATCAAAACGAACCTGAGGAGCCAGCCATGCTCCTGCTAATGCCATCTCCAATTCCCAAAGCCCTAGAAAGCAGTGATGGCCTCAAAGTCAAGGGAGTCTCTGGGGGAGGGCTTCTCTTACTGTTTCTTAGGGACTGAGCAGAAGAGGTTCTGGGAGGCAGCGAGCAGGAGGAAATAGATTTGAACTTGGCCCCTTCCCTCTCACAGCTGGCATCTCTGGCTTTGTACCACTTGCCTAGAGTTAGGGAGGTGGTCTAGAACTTCAGTGGGGGATCCCCACCCTACTCCTCCCCTGCAGTGCCTGGAAATGCTCTGAGATCCTTAGAGAGTAGGAGAGAGAGGGGAGGTGATGGGGATGGGGAATATGCTGTCTCACTAGGTTAGCCCTTCTGGCTCCCTGCCTAGGCAGCGAGCAGGAAGGAAGGAAGGAAGGAGGAGGGAGGGAGAAGGGAGGGAGGGAGGAAGGAAGGAAGGAAGGAAGGAAGGAAGGAAGGAAGGAAGGAAGGAAGGAAGGAAGGAAGGAAGGAAGGAAGGAAGGAAGGAAAAGAAGGAAGGAAGGAAGGAAGGAAAGAGTTATCCTTTTCCCTTAATTTCTTTCCACTACTCTTCCCTCTATGCCTTGTTTCCATTTTCTCTCTCTTCTCTCTCTTTTCCCTATTATTCCCATTCTTCTTTCTCTTTATCCTCCCATTCCCTACTACTCACTTTTCCACGGGCTATCTTCTCCTATCTCCTCTAGTTCCCATCTTTTGCCTCTTTTCCTCTCCCATGTACAATCATCCCTATTCTCTTTTCTTACTCCTACAATGCTTTTCTCTTTCTCTCCTGGTTTTTCTTCTGTTCTCCCCATTCCATTGCTTTCCTAACCTCTTTCCCCTTACCTAGTTATCACCCTACCAGACCTACTTCCCCTGAAGATGTCAAGTTAGACTGTGGAATTTGTCCCTAGGACACCATTTTGCCTCAGGCCAGCCCTAAAAATAATGCCTGGATTATCCAAAACTGGTGAAATGATCTGTGCTCAAATGATGGGTTTTTTTTTTAAAGCTTTGCACTTAGGAGTCAGAAGACATAGGCTCTGCCATTGGCTCTACCGCTAACTATAGAACCTGGGGCCAATTGCCCAATTATTCTGTATCCTATTTTCTCAGCTGAAAAATGGAACTAATGACACCTCCCTCCCTCCCTTCCAGAGATCTAAAATAAAATGAGATAATAGATAAGAAAATTCTTTGAGACTGAAAAAAGTTCTGTACAAATGCAAAGTATTATTACCGCTATTACCATAGATTAAATTTGATTCTATTACATGGTTAAGGAATAAGATGCCCTGGTAATAAAGTATCATGACTAATAGACACTTACCATATATATGATATATAAGTGACCATTTTCCAAAGAATATGACAATAAAATGTTTTAAAATGTTTCCTTGCTCCTTATCTCGAAGAAGTAGGTAGGTGGTGCAGTGGATAGAGCCTGAGCCTGGAGTCAGGAAGACAAGAGTTCAAATCCAGCACCAGACACTAGCTGTGCCACCCTGGGCAAGTCACTTAACCTTGATTTACCTCAGTTTCCTCAATTATAAAAAGGGGACAATAATAGCACCTACCATCTAGAGCTGTGAAGATTAAATGAAATAATATTTGAAAAATGCTTAGCACAGGCACTTAATAAAAGCTTGTTTCCTGTCCTTCCTCATATTATTAGTTCCTTGAGGGAAGGGCTTGCTTAGTTTTTGCCTTTGTCTTTCCAGGGTTTAGCTAGTACAGTGGATGCTTAGCAAATGTTTGGTGAATTCAGTTAAATGTCATTCACTCTTAGATGATTCAGAAGGCACTCCGCTGAATTGATGAGTCTTAGAAGTGTCCATTATTTACAGTCTCTAGTTCATAATCCAAAGGACAATGGAAAGATACATGGTAGTTATAGGCAGGCAGCAGCTTGTTACTAAGAAAAGACCTGCATGCAAGAAGTGGGATAAAAGGTATTGTGGAGGATACATCTGACCAGAAAACGATGTGGGCTAGTAAGAATGGGAGTCAACAGATGGACAGCTCAAGCAGCATACCCAAGATACTAAAAGAGGAAAACCTCAGGGGGTTAGCTAGAACTTCTACTAGGGACTTATGGAAAAACATGGACAAGAATTGCATAGGATGCAAAGATGATCTGTGTTGATGGAGAGAGGACTCCACATTGCAGATCTTTCAAAGTAGACCACTGGATAACACATTTATAACATTATGACTGTTATTATATGAAAGAGTTTTTGCATGTGGGTGATCTCTGAGACCTCTTCCTCTTCTAAATCTATGTTTTTCTTCAGTCAAATTGTGTTCATATCCCATTGGAATTGGTTTTAAGTCAAATACAATCCATAAAGTTCTTGATGCCTGAGCAATGCCCCATGGTAGCTTTTTGACCTTGACTTCTTTTCAGAAAAGCAAAACAAAGTAGGACTTTTTCAACACTTCTTAGATCTTTGTTTTAACTCTCCTCTTAGAGCTGGAATGAGGATGGTAAGGCTCTTCTGTCTCTGGTAAATGGACTGGATACCAATGTCAGGAGTCTCAAGATTCAAGGAATCAGAGCTTGGGGGATACCAAGGCAGTTAGAAAGGGAAGGGAGAATGAGGAGGAAGTAAATCCATGTGTGGCAGAGGTAAGACAAGACAAACATGGAGCCAAGAGACTAAGGAATAATGAAAGAGAATCAGCGGTATGTCATAACCAAAAGTCATGCCTAAAGGGTGATCTTCGTTAATGTTTAGCTAGCACATGCAATATGGAAACCCAACCAGTGCACAGCCAATAGCAGCTCACTACCATCTATTTCTTCATGTCATTTTCAGACATCACTCAGCTCCTTTGAGAGGTGACATGGAATGAGCACAGGCAATTCAACTCCAGGGAGCTGGAGGACCCAAGTTCAAATCCCAGTCCTGTTACTTTGCTAGCCATGTGACCTTGGGCAAGTTGCTTTACATCTCAAAGTCTTAGGTTCTTCCCATGTCAAATAAAACGGTCAGACTAGGTGATCTCCAACTCTAAGATCTCAGGAACTGAAAATCAAGTTTCCACAACAAATAGATCTGGGGAATTTTAGTGCTGGAAGCTTTTCCAGAAAAATTCCTTTATGGAATTCCAAACTGGTAATGAAACGACAAGGTGAGCTGTCCTTGTATTCTGCACTACCCTATGTTTCCAGCCTCTCCCTCAACTGTGTAGAAAAAGCAAGTCTGTTTATTTGCTTTACGTGACATCTTGAACCAAGTAGGGTTCAAGAATGTTAGTGCTCTATCTGAAAGTTCAACTAATATTTAACTTAACATCAAGGCAAAACTAAGCCCAGACTATCCTAGGTGCCTGCAATTTGGAGTGAATCAACACTGCACCTGCCAGAGAATGCAAATGCACTGTAGGACTTAGAAACCAGAGAGGAAAAACACAGAAACTTTGCTCATTAAATCCATACATGTTTAGTATGTACTGTTCACAGGGCTCAAACATGCCACTGTGATTCCTGGACCCTTTGCAGGGAGGGGAAAGACTCAGTGGAACATGGGATGGAATGGCAATAATAGAGGAGATGATTAAATGGATAAAGGGTAAAAGGAAGCAGTAAGGACCAACACATGGTGACCAGCAAACGGGGGGCAAGATGATTGGATCCAAAAGGATTCGAGCTGAATTGACTTCTCAAAGACAACAGCTCATCCTAGGATAGCTCAGTACAGTTTGTGATACGCCGACCACAACCATGGTACTCATATACTGATACCTTGGTGCTGTCCTTGGTGGTGCTACCAAGCAGTTAGGGATATTAGCTCATTAGTTGAAAATGCATTAATTGAAAAAGTGGGGCAGCTAGGTGGCCCAGAGTAGATAGAGCACTAGCCCCAGAGTCAGAACCTGAGTTCAAATCTGGCCTCAAATACTTACTAGCAGTGTGACCCTAGGCAAGTCATTTTACCCTGATTGCCTCAAAAAAAATGCATGCCTGTAACACTGAGCAAGAGGACTTTCTAAGAACCTGTGATGCAGCATGGTATGGTGGAAAGAGGTCAGGCTTTAGAGTCAGAAGACCTAGGTTCAAATTCCTTCCCTATCAATTACTACCTACTTGACTTTGGGCAAGTCATATTACCTCTGTAGACCTCATCTAAAGCATGTTCTAGCTGGCCTTCCATTTCTAAATCTGTGATTCTATGCTATGTACAATCATCAGATGTGTTGAATACTGTCTAAGAGTGAATGTTATATTCACTGGGAGTTGAGGTCGAACAGTTAAATTGTGGGATCCTAGTACTATTTGTAGGGCAGAAATCTCTCAGCTTGTAAAGGGATTCACACATGTGGGTCTAGAGACTGATTACCTGTGAGAATGAATGGAATGGTCACAGAATGTTGGATGAGATGTGAGTCCCATGGGCAATGTCCAGTAGAGAAGAGAGTCCGATCTGAAATACTGGACCCAGAAGAGCATTATTAGACAAGCGGGGTTATGTATTAAGCACTATCCATGCCCTGAAGGGCAATTGACTCAAGTCCCAAGGTGCATAAGAAGAAATAGGCATTCAAATATCACAGATAAAAAAAAATGATATTGAACAGATATAGCCAGTGGATGCCATTTTCCTTTTACCATATTCATAATATAATGTCTAGAGGGACATCTGATGGCTTTGTAGATAGCCGCGAGTTATTAAACAACAACAAAAAGATTGTACCTACCAATTCTATCAACATTCTGCTAGCACATGCTTTGCTTGCCCTCAGCTGCACTGGGAACATTCTCACAATAGCAGCATCCCATCTGCATGAGATAAATGGCCAGGAATGTCCTGAAGGCCATATCTTCACTCCACAAGGGACAAGAGGAAGAAAGAAAAGCCAAAGTCTACCTAATCTAATAATCTCATATAAGGGTTGCTTCTCAGAGAAAGGCTTTTGTTTACTTACCACAAAAAAAATTTGTCCTTAAGGGAGACATTTTAGAAAATATGACTGTTCCCTTTTATCTTGGGATCTCTCTCTTATTCTCTCTCTCTCTCTCTCTCTCTCTCTCTCTCTCTCTCTCTCTCTCTCTCTCTCTCTCCCTCCCTCTCCTCTTTCTCTCCTTCTTCCTTCCTTCTCTTTTTCCCTACCTCCCTCATTCTCCCTCTTTCTCCCTCTTCTTCTTTCCCTCCTTCTCTCTCTCTTTCTCTCTCCCTCCTTCTCTCTTCTTCCCTCCTTCCCTCTCTCTTTCTCTCTCTCTCTCTCTCTCTCTCTCTCTCTCTCTCTCTCTCTCTCTCTCTCTCTCTCTCTCTCTCCTCTCCCTCTCTCTCTCCCTCTCTCTCTCCCTCTCCCTCTCTTTCTCTCCCCCCCATCCCATCTTAAACAAAACCCATGTACATACCAAATAAGGTTTATCTTATTTTTATTTATTTTGTTATCTGTGCAGGAACCGAAAAAGAAAATTTTTATTTGGAAATAAATTGAGCTAGTTTTGTAACACAAATTATGCTTTGTCTTGGTCAATAAGAGTTTAAGGCAGGAGTAGAGGGGAGAGTGAGAAAACAGTAAGAGACAGGTCCCAGAAGTCTTTGACTCTGCGGCAGTAAGAACTTGTCTGAGAGCTTGACCTGCCTTTCCCTTACAGGTTGTTTGGTCCAAAGTAGCTTCATTTCTGCTTTTCTCCCCAATGCTGATGATGATTTAGCCACTGTGGATACATTCCCTTGGGTAGTGTCCTTGAAGGATTCGTGGTATACTCATTTGACTTTTGGATGCAACCTAAATGAGTTCTGGACCCTAAGCATTGCTTTCTGCTTTCAGAACAGGCCAGTATCCACTGTTTGCTTATTCATACACCTTAGCTACCTCAGATATGTATGTACAAGGACCTGGAAAGGTGCAGGGAAGGAGTTGGGGGTGGGAAGAGGAAAGGCAAGAGGGAGTGCTTAAAGAAGAGTTAGTCTGGCACATTGTGCCCACCCTGTGTCTGGACGTCATGCTTCATCTCTCATCTCTGGTGACGGGAATTTGACAGACTGAACCCTTCTTGCACCACCCAGCATGCTGAGTTCTAAAAATTCTCAGCCTCCAAAGGCTTGACTCAGCAGGGATGGTTGGCCTGTTTTATTTTTGTTTTGTTTTGTTTTGAACCTGCCATGGGAAATCCAGTAATGAGGCCAATTGAAAAATGAAATTCTATCTCAGTTCCAGAGAGAATATTTGAATGATGAAAAAGCACTGGCTGATCTCACAGGAAGATGCTGCTCCTTCCTTACCAGTCCCAGGCCACCTCCCTTTGGTGTCATCATTATCACTTTGGATTAGTGAAAAATGTGAGAAACCAGGTTTCTGCTTGGAAGAGCTGGGGAAGAGTTAGAGGTACCCCAGCATGTGGGAAGATACTTTTTCCTTCCCTTCCTTCCTGCCTCTTCACCTACTGTCTACTAGCCAACAGTGAGCTTAAGCATTTTGGAAGACTGCCTCCCCTTCCTATAACCTACAGAGACACCAAGCTAAAAGACTACTGTCATCCTGTATGAAGTTGTTCATATGAAGTGCATTCATTCATTTGAAAAACCTTTATTAAGGTCCTATCATGTGCCAAGCATTTGGCATACAAAGACATTAATCAAAGAGTTCTTACCCTCAGAGGGCTCACATTCTATTGGGGGAGACAACACATACATAGATAAACACAAAATATACACAGAAAATTGTTTGGGAGAACCACTAACAACTGGAGAAATCAGAAAAGACTTCTTGTAGGAGATGGCATCTGAGCTGAGCCTTGAGAGGAGCTGAGGATTTTAAGAGGCCAAGGGTAGGGCAACTAGGTGGTACAGTGGATAGAGCACTGGGCCTGGAGTCAGGAAGACCTGAGTTCAAATCCAGCCTCAGACACATATTAGCTGTGTGACCCTGGAAAAGTCACTTCACCCTGTTTGCCTCAGTTTCTTCAACTAAAATGAGCTGGAGATGGAAATGGCAACTCCTCCAGTATCTTTGCCAAGAAAACCCCAAATCGGGTCATGGAGAGTCAGACACTAGCGAACAAGGTGAAGGGAAGAGCATTCTGAGAACAGTCAATGTCACCTCTATGGCCAGTGAGAGAATTTGCTTTTCTTGACTGAACCTATATGTTAACGAGGGTTTTGTTCATCTTTTTATCTTTTCTGAATGAATGGCGAGGGAAAGAAAAGAGTGAGGTAGAAAGGAGAAAAAACAAAGGCTTGTTCACTGAAAAAATAATTCTAATGTTTTTTTAAAGCAATGTCCCGTCCAGGGAATATAAAGCAGGCCAGCTTTGTCTGGAACACAAAGTATATGAAGGGGTGTGGTGTGTAAGCAGTGATTAAAAGGGACTCCTGGAGCAGAAGCCAGCTCCTTTAATGTTCCCTTCCCTGTCCCTTTGGCGCCAAGGGTTTGTCCCCCCAAAGCAAAGCTTAGGGCAATGGAGTTGGGGGGGAGGGGTAGGAATTGGTGCCTTTGTTTTTCCTGGCTACCAGGGGAGAAGCTCTGCTCATTCCATTTTGGCTCACTCCATGCTTTGTTGTCTCTCCAGGAGGAAGGTTTTGGCATTGGTCGGTATCGCTGACGTGCATGCCAGGAGAAGAACCCAGCTACAGTATCCATCTCCTCCATCCTCAGGCATGAGGGGCTTCAACGACATGACCATGGAAAACAACCTTGCTCTCCTGAAGACCTACACAGCCATAGAGTTCAATGACCAAGTTCAGCTGATCTGCTTACCTGGCAGGAAGCTGGCCCAGGAATCCTGGAGAGCTGCTGGGGATCAGGATGGATCCGCACTGCTGCAGTTAATGCCTTTATTCTGATAAAGGAGGGTGGGTGCCAGAAATGAGTCTGGCTTGCCAGATCTCCTCAGTGCTTATCTTAATTAGTCAGGCCACTCATAGCAAAAAAGAAAAAAAAAGTTGGGCTAGAAACCTGGGATGTGGCTCTGTGGATAGAGCATTGGGCCTGGAATCAGGAATAGACACTTATTAGTTGTGTGACCCTGTTTGCCTCAGTTTTCCTCATCTGTCAAATGAGCTAGAGAAGGAACTAGCAAGCCATTCCAGTGTCTCTGCCAAATCAGGTCACAAGGAGTCAGACAGGACTGAACAATAACAAGAAATCTCAGACACACCACAAAAAAGTGGGTGGGTGGGGTGGGTGGATTCTTGAAAAAAGTCCAGTTCTTCCTTAGCTAGGTGGCTCAGTGGATGGAGCACTGGGCTGGGAGTCAGGAAGACTTGAGTTCAAATTTGACCTCAGATACTTGCTAGCTGTGTGACCCTGGGCAAGTCATTTAACCTTTAAATTAAACCTTCACCTATAAAATGTGAGTAATAATAGCATCTACCTCACGGGGCTGTTGTGAGGATAAAAAATGAAGTATTTGTAAAGTGTTTTGTCAACCTTAAAACTCTCTATAAATGCTATTATTATTATCAGCTCATAAATATTAGGCCCATGTGTTTCCTTAAACACTGGTCTCTTCCTGTCCCATGTTGATTCTAGTAGTCCTGAAAATTGGTGCCATCTAATAGGAAATAAGGGGAAGACACACCCTGGATATAGGGTTGATTGCCCCTTCACCCACCTTGCCCAAGGTGATGGCAGTATTCTGTTAGATAAGCTCTCACAGTAGACCAAACCCAGCATAGACAGTGTGATGTCAAGGAAAGTGCACTAGATTCAGAGTCAGAGGCCTTGGGTTCAAATTCTAACCCTATTCCATGCTAGTACAGAATCTGAGAATACATTGATGCTGACCTTCCCCATTGCCTCATATTTTAGCACCTTTATTCAAGATAGTCTCAGCAAAGGAGGCATTTGTGTTCATGTGTATTGGGCTTGCTTTTCATGGTCCAGACTAGAAAGAAAATGGAGATGGGTGTCCTAAGGAAGGCATTCCTCCGTGCAGGAAGTGTGGCCCTGTTCCTTAAAAAGACCCTGGGGAACGGCCTGCCACAGGTCCAGGGAAGAGGACAATGTCTTTGGATGCTTGGTAAGAAAATCTAGTGGTAAGCATTGGACGTAAGAACACCGGAGGAGCTGTTGGCCACATCAAATTACTTGACAGATTAAACAATAATATTAAGTTAATTAAAGTTATTGATCCTGACATCACTGAGGGAACTCAGTTCAAGTGAATGAAATGAACATTTATGGAGAGCCTCTTGTGCGCAGGGCACTGGGTTCAGCTTTGGCAGATTTACTCCCAGTCTAACACATAGCATTATGACCTTATTTTTATCCAACTAAACCTCCTCTAAGCCTCCTAAGTGTAGAATCACAAGATTTCATTTCTATGGAGACCAAACTCCTTCTCAATGTAGATCCTTTTCACCTGCATTGGTGGTTCAATAGCTAGAGGGCTAAGTTTGGAGTCAGGAAGACCCAAGTTCAAATCCTCCCTCAGAGACTTAACTAGCTGTGTGACACTGGTTAATTAACATAACTGCTCTCATCCTCAGTTTCCTCACCTGTAAAAATGAAGGGATTGGACTTGACAACCTCTAAGATCCCTTCTAAATCTAGGGCCCCGCATCTTCCTAAATGAAGTCTCCCTAATCAGACACTTGTCCCACAAACTATGCTTATTCCGAAAGCTACCCAGGTTCTGGGCTTAGTAAAGCTTTCACCAGATTCTCCCTCTAAATAACATTCAGGAATCCTACATGGAAACCACAGCTAGGTCCCAATTAGTTCAAGTAATGAATCCTTACAAGGAGTTGCAGGTATCCAAATGGATAATTATGTAAAATATGGTAAGGGTTCCAACCCAGTGGAAATATATAGTGTGAATTCAAATAATGGGACAGCTTCTCAGAGATTCATTATCTCTTTTTAATAGTATTTTTTCCCAATTACATGTAAAGACAAATTTTAATATTCATTTCAAAAAATTTTTGAGTTCCAAATTTTCTCCCTTCCTCCCCCTCCCCCAAGATGGTAAGCAATTTGATACTGGTTGTATACATGCAATTATGTAAAATATATTTCCATATTAGTCATGTTATAAAAGAAGAAACAGACCAAAGAAAAAAACTTTTAAAAAAATGAAGTGAAAATAGTATGCTTTGATCTACATTCAGACTCCATCAGTTCTCCTTGGAGGTGGATAGCATTTTCTATCATAAGTCTTTTGGAATTGTTTTTCATCATTTTGTTTCTGAGAATAACTAAGTCATTTACAGTTGATCATCATACAATATTGCTGTTACTGTGTACAATGTTCTCCTGGTTCTGCTCGCTTCAATTTGCATCAGTTCATACAAGTCTTTCCAGGTTTTTCTGAAATCATCCTGCTCATCATTTCTCACAGCACAATAGCATTTCATTACATTCATATACCACAACCTGTTCAGCCATTCCCCAACTGATGGGCAGGGGATTTATTATTTGAACTAATCAGACCTATCTGCATTTTAAGGAGAAAAGGAGATGTCAGACATTCGAGGGAACTTTACAAAGATAAATACAACACATACACAAAGTTACAAGACCCCTACTAGAAGGGATAGGGTACACATCAGAAAAGGCCTTTTGGGGGCATGACCCTTGAGAGAGTCCCTCGGGGTGCTCGAGGTTCCAAAAGGCAGAGGGGAGGAAAGACTGTATTACAGGCATGAGCAACAGAGCAAAGGCATGAGATAGAAATGTCCTACATAGGGAAAAGCAAGTTTGGCTACACATTTTATATCTGACATAGTATTTTCCTCCTAACAACCTCATGAAATAGGTGGCACAAATCCTTATCGCCTCTAAACTGAGGTTTAGAGAGAGGAAGTGAGTCTGTCTTTGCATCATGGCATGTGTTTGAGGGAGACCTGAACGGGGTCCTGGGGCTACTGTGGCAAGGGCCATTTCCATCACCCCTCTCCCCGACCCAAACACACACACACACACACACACACACACACACACACACACACACACCCTTCCTACTTCTGTGTCATGAAAATACAGCTTCAGAGATTGCAGGGAGGAAAGAGCTAATTCACCCACCTCAGCTTAGCACAGTGTCTGGCACAGAACAGGCAGGTGCTTAGGAAATGCTTACGGACTTAACTTGACTCATCCTACCCCTCTACAATCTGCCCCCTTCACTAACACCTTGGCTCAAATACCAGATTTGCCTGTTACTACTTTTGTGGCCTTGGGCAAATCAAGATGGCCTCGGGGTCCTAACCAGCTCTAAATCTATGCTCCTATAATCCTAATGGGAAGTGCATGGCAGCCAGGTGGTGCGGTGGACAGAGCACAGGACTCGGACTCAGGAAGACCTGAGTTCAGATTCAACCTCAGACACTTAACAGGTACGTGACCCTGAGCGAGTCACTTAACCTCTGTCTGCCCAGTTTCCTAATCTGGAAAACACTGATCATACTTCCAAGGGCTGTTGCAAGAAGGAAGTGACTTAACATATGCAAAACTCTTTGCAAACTTTAAAATGCTATATAAATGTTAGCTATTATTCCTGGCTTCTACTTGGGTGAATACACAGAGTGAGCATTTGGGAAACAGCTAGATAAGCAGTCCAATTTTATGTATGAAGAGTGTAAAGTGAAATGATGCAGAAGACCAGAAATTTGGGGCTAAGGGGTCTGCATTTATCCTAAAAGCAATAGGGAGCCACAGAAAGTTTTTTAGCTAGGGAGTCACAAGGTCAGACATGTGCCTTAGGAAGATTTATTTTGGCAACTGTGTGAAGGATGAATTGGAGAAGGAAAATTCTGGAGATGTGGGGAAGGATTAGGAGGCAACCTGACATAAACATCTTAGCTACTGGCCATTCATGTCCTTGCTATCCCATAAACGACTTTGTTTAGCAAACTGGCTGGAACAATTAGGGGGCTCTGAAAGACTGACATTTGAAGAGCAGATCTGAAATAAAATTTTCTAATTGGCCCCTGATATGATGAATCTCCCAACCTGTAAGTCAGGAAATACTGTTTTGAGGATAAAAAGCACAGACACTGGTTTTACAAAGAGTGTCTAAAGTCACAGGGAATGAGGTCATTTGAAGCTGTCCTCACATTCCCTGTTCCAAGGTATTTTTGGCAACAGCCGCTTTTTAACACTTCTCTTCCCCTTGCCAAGGCATTCATTCATGCCACCCATGTAGAATAGAATAAATCACCACCATCAAACTGATTAAAAGGAGCCAACGTTTTGTTCTAGGACTAAGTGGATCAGACAGGGGGAGCAGGATAATTAGAGAGATGAAAATTTCCATTAATACCCTACTATGAGTAGAGACAAAGACATAGATTATTCAACAGGACAATTAAGATTCAATATAACGTGGGCTTTCAGGAATCATCTTCTCTGAATTCCTTGGGATAAAGGGTGGGGCAGATTCTGGAAGTGTCTATGTAAGTGGAGGGGTTAACCCTTTGAGTACCAAAACCATTTAAGTAGCTTGGGGAGAATGGGGTGGAGGAGAGGGATGTAGAATTTAGTGGAAATACTTCCAAAATGGACAGATACTTCCCTGCCTTCTTAAGCAGAGTATGATGTACCAGATGGAACCTTTTTTTTTGATTATTCAAGGTCATTGTTATCAGCTATTATGATGTTTAAAAACTGCAGACAGAAGTGTAGATGTTGTGAGACACAGATTAATGGGCAGTGACTTGAGAAGTAGACTGGACCTTGTTTCTTTAATAAGGCTCTATTGTCACCCCTCATTTTTAGTCATTTCTCTATTAAAAATTATCGTAAAGGATATGTTGTTACATGACCTCTTCAGTATTGTAATATAGCTCTAGTCCTAAAAAGTTGGTGAATTCAAGGCTCCTAAATGAGTTTGTTGGGGGTGTTTTCCTCCTAGGGGCCCTTGCCTCTGATCACAACATCAACAAAGTCTCTCTCTCTCTCTGCCTCAATTTCCTCCTTGGCAAAATGAAGGGGTTGTACTAATCCAGTCAATAACATGCATTTATTAAGCACTTACTCATTTCTAAGGTCCAGCCCAAGTCTAAAGCCTCAGACACAATGATCTGTGATGGCAGCTGCACTAACGTGATGGTGGCAGGGACCGCCCTTTCACCCACCTCACTGACAAGGATTTAGCCATCTGAGTCCACAAGGCTCCCTCACCTCTTTAGAGTCTGTGCTGTCGTGTGGCGCGTGCTTTAGTCTGGAGACTGCAGGCTTTTTAATCAAAAGAAGATAACATTCCTGCACAAGTGAAATCTGGTCACAGGTTCTTCCAAGTTCTTGGACTTTCAACAGAAGGCCAGGAAAATGCTTGGGTGGCTGGTGGTTGTCCTTTGTTCTCAGAGAGGACAAAATGACATCGCGTTGGGGTCAAGGTGCCATGTGTCCAACGGTGGCTGATCACACCAACAGAAGCTCAGAAGGCTCTACCACAGGAGGGGTATAAATAGTCCATATGACCATCTGGAGGGGAAGTGTCTCTAAACTTGCACACCCCACATTTCTTTTGGGCTACTGCAATTCTGCTTTGCTCACGAAGCATGGCGGCTTCTTTGATGTAGGCACACCATGCTGGGTGGTCCATTGCCACTGTCTCTCGTGTCATACAATTGATTCCAAAGTTTTTCAGAGAAACCTTGAGAATGTCCTTGTATCACTTCTTCATCCAGGAAAATACAACATGAATCAACTTTACTCTCAGCTAAAGCTAGTGGCTGCGTGTTTAAAGGGATCGATTCTTTGCTGTCAAGGGGAGTAAGGCTGAGTCCACAAGCCATTCTGGGAGCTTGAGGGCTAAAATTTAGATAGCTGGGTCTGGGATAGCTTTATTTTTTCCAGTGAAATCTAATAAGCATTTATTAGTCACACACTGTATACAGGGCACTATGCCAAGCACTGAGGATATAAAAAGGAAATGAAAACATATCCCTGCCTTCAAAGATTTTATATATTCTACTAGTAAGATGATTTTTCCTATGGATTTTAATTTCTTTTTCAGTGTAATGGCAGGGCATTTAAAATCACACTTGATTTTTTTTTTTGAAGACTGAAGGACATAGTTAAGTAAGTATACTTAACTTAGTGGACTCCTGCTGAAATAGAAATTAAATTGGCATTTGACTAACTTTCTGGAATTTGGCTGAACCTGAGAAGAAGCTGAATAGGTCCTGTGTCTAAAGAGAACTAAATACCATGCTTCCCATCCTGCAAGGCATTTAGGGAAACAGAATTCCAGAGTCTCCTTGGGCTAAGAAAGCAACAGGCCATTCTTACTGGATAACAGAAGGAAAGTATGATTAAAAACCAAAAGAAAGTGAGCTGGGGGACTCCATTTCTGGCCTCCCCCTATACAGCCCAGTGAATCCCTGCTTCAGCATCCCTCTGTATTGGTACAGACTTAGCATGAACACCAAGCTGCAACTTAGAACCCCCTGAGTTCGATCAGCCCACCAGCCTCAGCCTCCCCAGGTACAGGAACCACAAGCTTGAGCCACCATGGCTAGCTTTCAGATCAAAGTGACCATGGGTGCTGAAGTGCAGCTTTCTTCTGGCAGCCCAGCTCTCGGGCAGCTGTACCTCAGGGTGCAAAGTGCCCAAACCAAGGAACGAGAAAGGAGATGCACAGACACAGATTGTGGTATAATGAGAAATGTTCTGGCTCTGACATCAGAGGAGCAGGGTTCAAATCTCAGAGGAGTCATTTGCTTTTAGTGACCCTGGGGCAAGTCACACCCTCCTGGGCCTCAGTTTCTTCATCTGTAAGATTAGGAGGCTAGAGTAGATGACCCCTATAGTAGACGATCCCTTGTATCTCTAAACCCACATACGACAGAGGACATTAAGCTGAGAGGAAAGCATGCTGAGAAATTTTCTTAAAAAGGAAAGGCAACAGTCTGAAGTGTGGAGATTCAAGAAGATGAAAATAAATGAAATTAAAAGATGTAAGTTTTCTGATTGAAAAAAATAAAAATCAGGGAATGTACATAACAAAAGCCATCCTGCTAGCCTGCAAGGTAGATCAAGAACATCCCATAATCCCTCGTTCTCTTGCTTTCAGCAGGAATCAATATAAAATATTTCCAGAACATAAGGACAGTAAAGCCGCATGAGCCTAAGTGGGAGGGAAATGGATTTATGTAAGAACTTGAAGCTTGCTTTCTTTCTCATAGGGAGACCCGGGAAACCCAGTGATGTGCCAAGCCAAGGGGGTTCTGAGAGGCGTCCTGAACAAAGGTGGCCTGAGCTGCATTGGGCCGTTTCTCTGCACCAAGCTCTCTTCCTACAGTGATTGGATTTCCAAAAGGAAAATGAAAGACTGCCTTGATTTATTCCCCGGCTTCAGATGGCAATCTACACCCTTCCCTGCTGTGAGATTGAAACTGCAGAACATCACCTTGGTGAAGCCACCCCAAGTCTTCTCTTTTCCTCCTCCTCCTCCTCCTCAGACAGAGGACCTCTCAAAGATGCAGAAAGGACAAGCCCAGTTAAAGTCTGCTCCAGTTAAAACAGCCACCTCCTCACAAGGGATGCAGGCTTCTGGGAGTCCGGAAATGGAATACCAAGAGAATGAGGTAGGGAGAGCTGGCTTGGTAGGCCTAGCAGAGTCTATGACTACTACAGTGGGGAAGTCATGCCCATCTCAGGTCAGGTCAGGCTCTGTCAGGCCCAGGGAATGGTCCCTGCCTTCTTCGTGCTGGCTCTTCACTTTGAAGGCATCTGATCCAGGAGGGAGCTGGCTGACCCAAGATCCTCCGAAGGGAGACATTTAGAATTCAACACCCGTGGTCTTCAGGACCCTTTTTAGTGGCTGCCTCCCTGTGCTCCAGGCACAGCGGGGATGCTCGGCATGTACTGTGCCCGAAATCTCTTTCCTCCCCGGCCACTCAGAGGTTACCCAATGACAGGCAGGGGTTTGCACTTGTGAACTAAATTCAGGCGAATCAGTGTCAACCAATCACGGTCCCCCGCGGTTCTTTTAGTTTTAAGTGGTCCTAAGATCAGTGCAAATGAAACGTTCCTTTCTTGGAGACACAGTCTGTACCAGTCTGGAGAAGAGAGGGAAACCTCTCTGGCTTCTCTGCCTGCCTTCTATCTACCGGTACCAATGTAACATTTAAAAGACTTTATTACTAAAAGGGGATTTGTTACTTTTAAGGGTCTGGTTATTTGATCACAGCACTATCCATACTAATCTCTTTCATTTTCTTGATTATTTAGGTCAAATTTCTCACAGGCCACTTTACAGCACGACACTTGTCTCCAGTAGGTTATTGGCCATTTTTACTCTATTCCAAGCCTTTTGGTAGCCTTTTAGAGACATCTGGGGGGAAGAAAAAAAAAAGGATAAATCATTAGGCCAAAACCTGGCTCCCATGTATACTCAGCACGTTTATTAGAGGGTCACAGAATTGGGAGCTCGACCCCATTTCAGAGGCCATCTGGTACAAGCCCCTCATTTTTCCAGAGAAGGAAACTGAGGCCCGAAAGTGACCTGCTCATGCTCCCAGAGGGAGGAGAGAAACGAGCCTGCCAGGGAGTCAAGCCCTGGTCCATTCTTGCTCCTTCTCTCAGCCTCTGATAACAGCTTTGTGGGATCCCTTTGCCAGAATTTCTTTTACCAGTAGAAAATTTTGCCTGTGATTTACCCTTATGAGTGATGGGAAATGAGACAGCTATTTGGCAGGTCCCCATGAGTGCCACCCAGCTGGGAGGAAAATCTTTGAAAGAGCAGAAGGAGAAGTCCCAGCTTCTGGCCACTTCTGCCCCTGTCCAGGTGACCATAGCCAGTGCCCCCCAGGGAGGACAGGGAGGCCTGCTTGCTCTGGTGCTGGGGTCCTGGGTCCTGCTGGCCTGCCCTCCCAGCCCTGAGCTCTCATGGCCCCTGCACCCAAGGCACTCTGCAGGTGTCCTGCAGAAATCCTCCTCTACTCACAGAAATCACCAGGCTTTCCTCATTCTCTCCAGCATGAGCATATTAGTTCCATTGTATTAATTTCTCTTCAACTCATAAAGACTACAGATACTATTGTGTTTAACAACGCATCTGTTTCGTACTAAAAATCCTGGGTGTGGGGGAGTGGGGCAGGGGAGGTGGGGGAGAGCTTTAAAAAAAAAAAAAGAAAAGCTGGGGCTAGCATCCAAACGCATGAAGGCAGATGTTGAATGTCATTTAAAAAAGCAACGATCCCTTGGTGAACCTGGGCTTTTCAGTTTCTGAAGCAGAAACCACTGGATACATGAGGCCTGCAAAGGGAAGCCTTGAGACTGACAGGTGTTCCACATTTCATGAAAACAAAAAGCCATTTAAAATATCCCCATGACAAAGCCCCTCTGGGGCATCTCCATAGACAGTGAGAGGGCAACAAACATCACCTTTATCTGCCCGGCTGGCCCTAGAGGGAAAGATCTCACTGTCCAGAGAGCACAGCCAAAGCTCCCTCTCCCTTCCCAGGAAGAATCAAGGAACTTGGGCAGTTTCTTTTCTCTGAAGCCCAATCAATCAAACCTTTATTAAGCACCTCCTGTGCCCCAGGCTCTGTGCTAAATGCTGGGAACACTTACACCAACCTAAACGCACCCTGACCTCAAAAAGCTTCTATTCTATCCATGGAGACAAGTACATAGCTAATTATATGTAAAATACTATGTGCAAAGCAGATACCAAACCAATACCAGGCAAAGCTGAGGTAAGGGGCTGGGGGGAGGGGTACTGGCAATGAGGAGGAGCAGGAAAGGTCTCACACAGGAAGAGGTGCCTGAGCTGAGTGAGGAATGAAAGCAGAGATCCACAGAGGCAGAGGAGAGGAAGGAGAGGCATTCAGGCCTGGGTGGGGGGAGCCTGGGCACCAGCACAAGACCAGGACGGGGTATGGTCTGTGGAGGGGGCGGGGCGGGTATGTGTGACAGGGAGGAGGTCCATTTGACTAGCCTCTGAAGTCCATGAATGGGGGCAATGTACAATAACACTAGACGTGAACAGGCATTAGAGCAGTCTATATTTGATCCTAGAGGGGGTAGGGGGCCAATGGAATTTACGGAGTGAGGAAGTGGCCCAATCGGACCTGTGCTTTAGACTCGTACCTTTGGAATGGGGCACGGGGACCACCCAGGAGGCTGGTGCGACAGTTGCAGGGAAAAGGTCATCTGGTCTTACCTCTGCGATTTCCACTTTCCTCTCCCACGTCTGAATGCTTTTTTCCAGCTCATAGTTGGTGACCTTCTCGTGGACGTACATCATTACGTGGGGCACTTTGTACGTGGCTAGCTGCTTTCTCAATTTCTTATTCAAAGCTTCTGCTTTGGCTCGGTCCTAAGGCAGGAAGGGAAAAGAGGAATCCCGAGCTGTGGCTGCTGCACCTCCTATAGCTGCCCTTGGCATCAGCACTGCCTGTAACACAGTATTTTCCCTGCAGTACCAAAATACTTTGTAATCTTCTGTTGCCTGTTTTCAAAAAAGGGAAAATGGAACCTGCAACCTGTAGACCAGCGAGTCTGACTTGGATTCTTGGCCAAATGCCAGAACAGATGGTAGAGGATGGTTAGGGACCATCTAGAAGGGGCAGCAGAGCTCATTCACAACAAACACGAGTCCTCCTCAAGAACCTCAAGTGGGCTGCCAGACCCAATGCATTTCCCTTTTTTGGGCAGGGTCTGTAAACCGGTACGTGAAGGTAGGGCTGGCCCTCCATAGAGTGTACTGAGAATTCAGCAAAACACTTGACAAGGCGTCCTGTGTGACTTGTAGAAAAGGTGGAAGGGCATGGGCTACATGAGAGAATGCGCTGCTCCCAGAATGCAGTGGTAAGTGGTCTGACGCCAGCTCAGCCAGAGGCCTCCAGGAGGGGGCTCCAGAGGGTCTGTGCTTGGCCCAGAGGTGCTTAACACTCTTATTAGTTATCTGATTAAAGACATGGAGGGCCTGCTAATCCCTTCTGTGATGACACAAAACCGCCTATAGCTAACACGGGAGGAGAGAATCAAGATCCAAAAAGTGACCCACAGGTTGGAAATCTGATTGAATCTCACAGAATGAAATTTAATAAATGCAAAGGGCTCAAAAAACTGGCCTCTGCAAATCAAAACAACTCCGAGGCACCACATCACCCCTATCAGCTTGGCCAACATGACAAAACAGGAAAATGATAGGTGTTGGAGAGGATGTGGGACAATTGGAACACTCACGCATTGTTGGTGGAGTTGTGAAATGATCCAACCATTTTGGAGAGCAATTTGGACCTATGCCCAAAGGGCTATAAAAATGTACATAACCCTTTGACCCAGCAATAGCACTTCTAGGGCTGTGTCCCAAAGAGATCAAACAAATGGGAAAAGGACCCACACTACAAAATTATTCATAGCAGCTCTTTTTGTGGTGGCAAAGAATTGGAAATTGAGGGGATGCCCATCAGTTGGAATGGCTGGAGAAGTTGTGGTATACAAATGTAATGGAATGCTACTGTGCTATAAAAAATGATGAACAGGCTGACTTCAGAAAAACCTGGAAAGACTTGTATGGACTGAGGCTGAGTGAAGTGAGCAGAACCAGGAGAACATTGTACACAGTAACAGCCTCACTGTGAGATGACTAATATTGATAGACTTAACCCTTCTCAGCAGTGCAATGATCTGAGACATCTCCAAAGGCCTCATGATGAAAAATGCTATCCACATCCAAAGAAAGAACTATGGAGTCTGAATGCAGATCGAAGCATACTATTTGCTCTTTTTTTTTGTCCCGTTGTGTTTTGTTCCCTCTTTCTGGTGGTTCCTCCTATTGGTTCTAATTCTTCCTTACAACATCACTAATGGGAAAATATGTTTAATAGGAATGTATATGTAAAGCCTATGTCAGATTGTACACCATCCTGGGGAGGGAGATGGGGAGGAAGGGGGAGAAAAATTTTAAACTCAAAAGCATATGGAAGTGATGGTTGATAAATCAAAATAAATTAATTAAAATTTTAAAAAATGACCTCAACAGTGTAAGACACTTGAGGCAAAGTTAGACAGTCATTTGTTTGGAAAAGATCAGGAGGTCTTAGTGGGCTGCAAGCTCCAAGCGGGCCAGTACTGTCATAAATATGGTGGCCCAAACAAGTAATGAACACCTCAGCTTCCGGGAGCAAAGAAGCCAGATTCCTGCCGTGCCCAGTCTGCACTGGTCAGGACGCATCTGAATAGTGGGCTCAGTTCTTGGCACTGGTTTAGAAATGGCGGCCATAGGGGGCAGCGAGGTGGGCTCAGTTCTTGGCACTGGTTTAGAAATGGCGGCCATAGGGGGCAGCAAGGTGGCGCAGCGGACAGAGCTCTGGCCTTGGAGTCAGGAGGACCTGAGTTCAAATCCAGCCTCAGACACATGACACTTACTCGCTGTGTGACCCTGGGCAAGTCACTTAACCCCATTGCCCAGCCAAACAAAACAAACAAACAGACAAAAAGAGATCAGCCTGTGCAGCTAGATCTTGAAAGAGAAATGGTGGCCGGAGCAGGGCAGCCAGCACGGTGAGGAATCTCCACATCATGTCACAGGAAGGCTGGCTGGAGGAGCTCGGGAGGCTTGGGGGGGGGGGGGGACGCGAGCCGTCTTCAAACACAGGAAGAACTAGGAGTTAAATGACGGGTTAGACTTTTGGACCTAGACAGAAGGGAGCACGGGGGGGACGTTCTGAAGGCAGATCTTAGGTCGACGTCAGGAAAAACTTTCTAACAATTAGAGCTACCTAGCAAGAGAACAGGCTGCCACTGGTGTCAGGGAGGGGGTGCACACCCCTTCATCAGAGGCCTTCTGAGACACAG